TTGGTCGCATTTGCTAGAAAACAAAGATTTCAGTTTCTGTTTCTATCACTTGTTTAAAAGATTTTTTTGTAATTTATCATATTCAATTTTGTTTTCTACTATTTTTGTTAGGCATCTCATATGTATGGGCGGCCACCTGCACACCTATACATCATGATTATTTTTTTAGATTATTATTCTTTTCTTAGGTTTGGGATTTCTATCCTAAAATAGTTGTGTGGATAGAAATTATGAATAATTGGATCGGATTAGGAGTTTATTGAGCCAAGAGTTGTAAATGGAAATGAGTCTAGTTTTTTTTTTTTTTTGAAAAGGAGTCTAGTTTGGAGGTCTATTCTATTTATATCATCCTGAAAATTGTTTTTGGGCAGCAAAAATTTTAATAAAAGTTGGAGGACGATTCCTCTTGAAGTGAATCAATTTCTCACAGGATCCTTGGATCCTATCAGTTTTCATGCTAAGATGATCTAGAATTGCCAAACTAGTTCTAATATTGTTTTTCTTTCTGTTTTTAGTGCGTATGGCTGAAAATAATGTTCAAATTCCTATAATTTAATGTTCTACTATGTTTGTATTCATTGCTGTTGGGATATTTGCAATTCTATTTAGCTCAATTGACATTGCACAAGATATTCAAATTAAACAAACCATCTATCAAATCTTTAACTATTTATTGCATTCTGTTTATCGTGAGTGATACATCTTATGAATTCCTGGCTTGTCTCGTTTTAATTTCCTATTTTTTCAAAGTGACTTATCGAGAGAAGTAAAACAATACTCTAATTGATTTTTTTATGTGATCTGTATTAGTTTAGTTCTGTGTAATTGTTCATTAGTTGCAATGACTGTTGAAACTGAATTCAAACTGCTGATTTTGTGTTCCCCCACTTCATCTTTTTGAGAGGGGATGATGTATTCACGTGTTCTTGTTGAAAGTATTGGTCACTCACAATGATTGTTGTCTTACATAGCATGAATTTCAATTTATTTTGGTATTGTTCTCCTTTTTGACAGGGCAATTGCTGAATATTTGTCTCGTGATCTTCCATATAAGTTATCTCCTGATGATGTTTATGTCACAGCCGGTTGTACACAAGCCATTGACGTCGCATTGTCAGTTCTAGCTCGGCCTGATGCAAATATCCTGCTTCCACGACCAGGATTCCCAACCTATGGACTCTGTGCTGCATTCAGACATATTGAAGTTCGGCATTATGACCTTCTTCCTGAAAAAGACTGGGAGGTTGATTTTAATGCTGTTGAAGTTCTTGCAGATTGTAATACTGTTGCAATGGTAATTATAAACCCTGGGAATCCATGTGGCAATGTGTATAGTTATTGTCACCTAAAGAAGGTTAGTACAGGCCAGTTGTGCTCCTTGTATGTTTTTCTTTGTCTTTGTGAATCAGCATTGGGCTTAATTCAAAATGTTTGTGCTTTGCAATAGATTGCGGAAACTGCGAGGAGGCTTAATATTCCTGTTATTGCTGATGAAGTTTACGGACACCTTGCTTTTGGGGGTAAACCATTTGTGCCAATGGGAGTTTTTGGATCTATTGTTCCTGTTCTGACTCTTGGCTCTATATCAAAGCGATGGTTAGTGCCTGGCTGGCGGCTTGGTTGGTTCGTAACAAGTGATCCTAATGGCATCTTCAAAACCCCCAAGGTCCGTGACAATTATTTTTCTTGTTGGTTTTAGTTGATAGAGTGATACTAAATTTTGTCGATGAATTTCTCTTCTCCACAATCCTGTCGTATATGGCTAAGAATTAGATGCAAGTTAGTTTCACCAAGTTAATTGAAGTACAGACAATTATGTTTGACAATGTAAATGCTGGTCGACTGTGGTTCAGTTTTCCCTGTCATAATCACTTCATTTTTGTTTATTTCTCTTATTCTGCTAAGTGCATCTTCCATTTGTATGGGAAACCCAGTTATTTAAGAATTTTGTAAGTTTGTATGGATAACGCTATTTTGATGATTAGATTTGGAAAGTTGATTTTCACCAGTGCTAATCCATTTTTCTTTTCCTTACCTTTCAGATTATCGAGCGCATCAAAAAGTACTGTGATATATGTGGGGGCCCTGCAACCTTTATACAGGTTTATACCTCGTTACTTCAACTCCTTGCTTTATGAAATGAGTTCATGGGGTTCGTTGATCAGCACGTATGAATTCTGTTCAATTAGCAGGTAGACTTAAAGAGTTTAAATGAAATCACTACAAAAAAAGAAAAAAAGCATACCTAAAGATAAAAGATAAAAAGGTACCTACATGAAATATAGTTTTTCGGCATCAGTGATCCATAGCCTTAAAGACAACTTGTAATACAGTATAAATCTGCAGCCTTAGAGGCAACTTGTAATAGAGCATAAAATGCACCACATTTAGTCACTAGACCTAAAATTGTGAATAAAGAAAATAATATTGTTTGGTCCTAAGTTATTCTATTATTTTTTTTCCTACTGTGAGATGTCTAATAATTTTAACCAAGCTGAAATTTTAGTGCATGTCCCGAGAAACGAGAACCCATCAACTTATGTCTTTCCTTTCTCATAATAATGTTTTTGGTGTTTAGGCAGCAGTTCCTCGAATTATTGAGGAAACAGAAGAGATTTTCTTCAAGAGAACTATTAGTTTGCTGAAGCAGACCTCAGATATTTGCTGCAGTAGGATTAAGGAGATCCCCTGTATTACTTGCCCTCACAAACCTCAGGGATCCCTGGCTGTAATGGTGAGGATCGAGCAGAATTTCAGTTTCTTCACACATAGAAATAAATGAATTATAGAGGAAATGCTGCTTCTATGCTTCTATGCTTCATGCTTTTTTTTTTTTTCACAATGCAGGTGAAGCTGAATCTTTCCCTGCTGAAGGATATTAGTGATGACATTGACTTCTGTGTCAAGTTGGCCAAAGAGGAATCTGTGATCATTCTTCCAGGTGATAAGCAAAATATTGTATGCGAAATAAATTCAAACTATAAATTCCAATTTATTTATCAGCAAGTGCATTTATGTTGCAGTAAGATAGTCCCATTGGCCTATATATTATGCTGCTTTCCTTAATTTGTGGAATCAGAAATTAAAATAGAAGCTTTGTGCCTCGTGGAACAAGAGTTTCACCTATGATCCATGGCATGCGATGAAATGACCAAAAATGTTAGTTGCTTGGTTTTAGTGATTCATCGTATAGTTGCCAACAGGATGTCATGATACGACATATTATCTGCAGTTTCTTACAACGTAAATTCTCTCAACCATCTCTTATGATGAACTATGAAACTGCTAGACATGTTCAAGTGTGAAAGCTTTTATCAATGCCCCCTCGGAAGTTTATTACAAAACCACACCCAGCAATACACCAGTTCTCAGGGGTTTGGTGCATCTGATGTAGAAATTAGCAAACTAAAGGGGCAAGAATATATGAATCTGTAACAAGGTTGTAAGCGACTCTCTTACGGCGGAGACATTTCTTTTGCAGGGCTTGCAGTGGGTCTGAAAGATTGGGTCCGCATTACCTTTGCTGTTGAGCCATTCTTTCTCGAAGAAGCTATGGGGAGATTAGAGTCTTTCTATCAGAGGCACTCCGTTCAACCAAATGGCAAGTTTACCAGATTGAAGGAAACCAACACTTATTTTCTGGGGAAGTAATCATTAATTGCCACATATTTTTGCACAGTTCATTTGTTCTAAATATTATTTGATACGTTGATTATGTGCAATAATTGTTCCGAAGGATCATACGGCTATTATTTGTTAGACATGGCAGTATTATAGAGTAACTTCATTCCATATGTTGTAGATCATTTAACAGCTTCATGCTAATAAGTAAAATTTCCTGCTCATGTACTACGGGGCCGACAGTCATAATCCTAAATCTTATTATCTCTTCAAAAGTTAGGCCTTTTTACAGGTGATGTCGGGTTTAGTCTTCATGCATGCCATTCGACTTAAAAATTCAATGCTAGTGTATCTTACTTTACTTCGATCCATCATTGAAGCAGCCAGGAATTCCTGTTAATATGTGATATGACTCACAAGTGTTTACCACTAAAATTCCATTCCAACAAGGTTAGGTCTCTGGTTAAGCCGTTGAAAATCCTATGGCCGTTCAAGTTTGTCTTATTTACTGGACTTAGCTTTGTGCAAATCCAACGCTGCAGTTAAATTTTTTTTTTTTTGCAGGCATTACGCTGTCTTATACATAATTTCAAGTGCTTAAAGAATTGTACTCCTAAGTTGTCCAGCTCTTCAAAATAGGGCGGGTCCGAGTTGTTACATACATTGATTTCTTTATATTAACCACGTTAAGAAAGAGAGATCAGAATCAAATCAAAGCAGCAATAAATGTTTATCTATTGTTGAAAATTTCTGTGTAAAATGGGAATTTACTTGTTTTTCCACTTATCTCTCTTAAATTTTACTATCAAATTAATCTAAGATTTCTAACAGGAATTATCTTGAAAAGAGATAAAAAAAAATAGTATAATTATTCTGAGTGACAAACTTTTATTACCTACTTAAAGACATCGAATTAGATAGTATTGGATAAGATTGCGATGTTAGATGCCTAGGTTACAAAGATCAAGTAATGTAATTTGATGATTTCTCAGCAAATGAAATCTACCAAAATTAAATCTATGCTTGATTAATTTTTGTTTATCTCAAATACTTATCTTATTGAGTTAAAACTTGTTATACTATGTCGTATCTAAGTCATAAATTTTCATGAGTTAGACGGGGTTTCAATGGATTATTAAATCTATTACAATCTCAATCTATTAAATTTAACCACATGCCAAATATAATTTCTTATTTATTTGGTGAACTAATAACAAAGACAATTTCATAGGCACAATTGACCATCTCGCCGTACCAACAATCGGCAGTGTGGGGGAGAAACGAGGAACCAAAAAAATCCTACGAGTAGCAGACAAAAGTCAGTGACCTACTTTCGTACGTTTTATGGAGTTGTTAAGACTACAACTCCAGACTGTTACTATAAGACCATGCTACTTTTCTCAACGACGTCATTTTTAATCGGCTCTTTCCACTACAAGCTCTTCTCTTCCCTCCTACTTATATCTCCACTATTTTTCCCGTATGTCTATCTCTCCTTTTTCTTTCTGTATCCTTTTCTCCATGGCAAAGCTCAAACCCTTCTTCTGAAGAGAGAACAGGTATTTTCCCTACCTAATTCCTCTCTCTAACTTTCTTGGGTTTTTTCTTAAAAACGACAGTAATGATTTCTAGAGTAATTTGTGGTCTGTTTGATTTGGTTTTCTGAAGTTGCAATGGCTGCACCAAAGGTTGAGAATGATGAAGAGTTTAGGGTTCACGTGTTCTCATCATCGTCAGAGGTGAATATTTAAGAAAATTGTGACTCGGGCTCTTTTGAACTGATTTATTCTGATTGTTTGTAATGTGACGCTTTATTTTTATTATGCTCGAATGTGTTGGATGATCTACCTGTTCAAGAACAGTAAATTTGAAAGTTAACAACATTTCGGTGTCGATGGCAATGAAAATATGATTCCACCAACAATACTAATTTTTGGGATGATTCTGAAAATTTTCAAAACTCTAGTTGAATATGCAATTTCTTGAAACTCTGGGATTAAGCAATTTTTGAGAAAAATGATACATTCTTGAATGAACACATGATTCCTATGTCGACGGGCACCAAATTGATGCATTAAGGTCAAGGAGAAGACAAGATTCCCTTGTCTATGGAACTAAATCTTAAACAACAAATTATTCATATGTGAGCGACACATGATTGAAAAGAAAAAAAGTGTGAAACTTGCAAATTTTTGGGTAAGTTGTTGATATTGTGGGTAAGTGGCAGAAAATTGGACGGATTGTGACTCTCATCTAGCAGTACCAATTGTAATATATGTAGTGATCAAAATCCCCAGTAACAATAGTTATCATCTCCAGATGACTGATACTTACTTGGTTAAACATTGCTCTGACCCTTTAAGTGCTAAAACTGCACTTCCTATGGTTCTATTTGTTAATCAACTTTGACTTTCTCTTTTTGATTCCTTTTTTTTTTTTGGCTTGTTTCGTTGTATTGGTCAGTTGCTTGAAAAGTTGCATGAAAAGTGGAATTCGGTGAAGGAGCTGCCATATTCAGCAATGTATTCCAGTGTTTTTGGGGGAATTATTCTTGATCCAGCAATGATGGTCATCCCAATAGATGATCATATGGTTCATCGAGGACATGGTGTGTTTGATACAGCTATTATTCTTGACGGGTAAGGAACCTCGGTTGGAAATACGCATTTACATTTTTCTACCTTAGATTAGAAACTAATTTATAAGGTTTCTGCGCAAGGATCAGTTGTCCAATATGTATTTGAGTTATGAATTTTTAACCATGCTTGTAAATTGTAATTCAACTCACATTTCAGATTTTCTTTGAGTGATCCCTGTGTAACGTATGGAATTTTCCTTTCCCTGTTCTTGTACCTGAGGAGTCGTTGATTCTCTTTAGTGTATCTTGGAAGGGTATTTTATGCATAAATAACTTGATTAGTGGTTATTACCAGAAGTCTCTAGCATGAATTTCTTAGTTGAGCCTTTGAAAGGGATCATCATAAGACTTTTAGGCGCACCTGGGGAAGGACTACCCTTAATATGCGCAATTAAGAAGCGATACTGAATTAATTGATAAAGAGACAAAACGAACATCTGCAATCTTCTAAATTGTTATACTCGACAAATTACCTAATCATTTAGAGGGAACTTGTGTAGTTAAGTTGAGCCAGTGTAAGCTTATGACTTGGTGTTAAGTTTTTGGGTTTTTCATGATCCAGTAGTACTCTTTTGTGCCTGTTCTGTTTTTGAGCGCTGCAAGTGTAGGAGCCTCTTAAATCCATTGTTTTACACAGATACCTCTATGAGTTGGATGACCACCTTGACCGCTTCCTTAGATCAGCATCAAAAGCAAAAATCTCATCTCCCTTTCCACGGTCAATCCTTCGAAGCATTCTTATTCAGCTTACAGCAGCTTCACAGTGCAAGAAAGGAACTCTAAGATACTGGTTGAGTGCAGGGCCTGGGGATTTCTTACTGTCTCCTGCAGGATGCCCTACATCTGCATTCTATGCTGTAGTGATTAATGAAAACTTCTCGCAATGCAAGGAAGGTGTTAAGGTGATAACATCAATGATCCCTATGAAATCACCTCTGTTTGCCACTATGAAGAATGTAAATTACCTCCCAAATGTGCTCTCCAAAATGGAAGCTGAAGAGCAGGGAGCATTTGCGTCCATCTGGATTGACGAGGAAGGTTATATTGCAGAAGGTCCGAATGTGAATGTGGCTTTTATAACACATGGCAAGGAGCTTGTTTTGCCTGTGTTTGATAAGATCCTTAGTGGCTGCACTGCATTAAGGCTTCTTGAATTAGCACCCAAGTTGGTCAAGCAGGGACGTTTGAAAGGTGTAAGAACTGCCAATCTTACCGTGGAGGAAGCCAAAGGTGCAGCTGAAATGATGTATGTTGGAAGCACACTTCCAATCTTGCCAATCATCATGTGGGATGAGAAACCCATTGGAAATGGTAATGGACTATTCTCTTATTTCAATTTAACTTAAAAGTGAAATGAGGCCTTTAATTTGCTTCCCTTCTTTGATAAAGGATGCCAACTTTGAAAGGGTTGATTACCATTTTGCATCAAATTGTGTTTGTACTGTCACATGTTCTTTAGATCAAAATGCCTGAGATTAGTACAATTTGTCTAATTGTGTCTCCAGGGTAGTGACGTACTATAAATTGTAAAACTGCAAGCGTCCGCATAATTTACATGTTTATGTGGTTAACGGTAGAATGAGGACCCTTGCACGTCCTTGCTCAACAAATTGTCTATAGCCAAGATCGTAATCTAGTCCCAATAAACAAAAAAGGTCTTGATCTAGTTAAAAGGGGTTGGTTATGTTGTTGTTTTGTTACAGGAATGGTGGGAGAATTGACAATGGCACTCTCAGATCTGCTTTGGGAAGATATGGCGACAGGACCCGAAACAAAGAGGTTACTTGTTCCTTATGCCTAATAGAGCCAAGTTATTCAAACTAGAGGAGGATGCTGAAAAAATGCATCGAATAGTGTGTATGGTATCATTGCTGATGGTAATCATCGTTGGGTACTTAAAGCAAATGCCCTTTGTATGTTTGTATCAATGGCTTCTATGTTTATAAATATTGGAGTCTAGTCTTAAAAAGTTCTGCTAGATTGCTTTGTGTGTGGTTGAATGTTAGAGATGTTATTGCCAAAAATTGATCCAAAGCATGGCAAGCTGTTTGGAAACTTGAGTCTGTGAGTGAAAAAAGATTAAAATAGATAATGGAAATGACACCAAATTCATCCTCCTTTTTCAAATAGAGTAAGATAGATGGTGCGCTTTGGAATAAAGGACAATGCCCACCTAAATATTCTTTAGGCTTAGCAAATCTCAAATAAGTCCTCAATTCGATACATAATAATTACGAAATTATGTCATATAAATTTAATCATAATAAATTTGGATGAAACCCCGATTAATTGGTCATACACGTTTAGTAATCGAGTTGATACAAACTTGATTATACATGTCATAAACCTAATTATACTTAACTAACTATACACAGCTTACATATGATCTAAACCTTGGCAGGATTATAAATGTATCATTTATAATTCAATAATATTATTAAAATATAATTTATTAATATATTATATTGATCTAATATATTACAACTATTACATTGATAATCAATTTTAAAAATATTATGACCCATAATAACTAAGTCTATCAAAGTCCGATACGATACGATTAATCGACACAAATTAAGTGGGTTTGCGTGAGACCTTAACAAATTTGAGTGGTAAACGGGTTGATCCGTTAGACAAGTTTAATAAATAGATTGTGTTCGGGTGAAATCTATCAACTTATTTATCATCCGTTTAAATAAAATTAATATAATACTAAATTAATAATTATTTTAAAAAATTAGCCAATTTTTTTTTTAGTGACAACCACAAAAAATATATAAGTAATCTAAAATTGTTAAATTGCTAGTTTTATAAAGTTATATAACATTTTTAAACAAGCAAGTAAATGGGTCTTACATATGGGTTTACTATGTTAACCCGACCCTACTCAATAGGATTCATTTAAAACTAACCGGGTTAAACGAGTCATATCGTGTTACCCGTTTATTAAACGGTTTGTGTTCGTGTTGAGGTTCTTTACCAATTTATTAAATGTGTCGTGTATGAATTTATACATGTTTTCACCCGTTTATTAAATGTGTCGGGTATAAATTTATACATGTTTTTCATTCGTCATCTATTTAATTCAACACGTAACCGTTTAACTCAACATGATTATTGCCCCTAATAATAACAATGAATGATTTGTCGGTTGGTCTCATTGAAAAGAGTTAACAGAATTTACTGATCCAAGGGCTTATATTGATTTGAGATACAATTTGATATCCCAATTTTTGGATGGAAAAACAAATAACACAACCGGATCCTTAATTTCAAGGTAACTATTTGACCCATGCAAAATAGGTTTCTGCCCACGGCCCACCCGGATTCATCACTCCAGTGTCCAGAGTGCAGCTGTCTCGTGAACCCCTAAATATGGAAAGGGGGAGACGAAAAGACAGTCTCCCAAAAATGGTACACGCGAAAGAGAATATGAAAAGAATGGGAGTCGGAAAGAATATGAAGCAAGTACCAGAGAGAAAAAGAGAAATCATTTCGACATTGTTGAACCTAGGGTTAGGGTTTCCAGAGATCGATGGCGACAAGTGCACAAGAGCAAGGCACTGCCGCGAAATCAGGACTGAGAAAGCCTGTGTTCGTTAAGATCGACAGTCTCAAGCCGGGGACGAACGGCCACACACTCATCGTCAAGGTTGTGGATTCCAACACTGTACTCCAGAAGGGCCGCTCGGTGTCTCAGCACCTTCGCAACACGCGCATCGCCGAATGTCTTGTTGGGGACGAGACCGGCGTGATCGTATTCACTGCTCGCAACGAGCAAGGTATATGAGTTAGTTGCTCTGATCTAAACATTGTTTGCGGTACTGTTGGTTCCTTTGAAACCTTAGAAATGATTTCAGCTTTGTTATTTCTTGGATTTTGGGTTTTTTGGATCTAAATATGTGTATGGATGATATTATTGGGGCTAGTTGTGGAATCCTAATTTTAAACCCTGGAAACTGACTTTTGGGGGTTATGTGTGGAGCTTATGATACTTTTTGCTTTAGGCATAAACTAATCATTGCGTGCTTCATGAGTTACCTCTGGGAAGTGGTAGATACCATATGTATCTTTCTATTTTGTGAGTTGCTCTTTTGAGTTGAAGAAACTCTAATTTAATGGAACTCTGCAAACATGATTTACCAGTATATCGTGGAGTATCCGCATTCAATACGAAGGTGATCACATTGTAGAAATATTTTTGGTTTGGAAAGTACAAGGAGTAGTAAAAAAAATTTACCTGATCTTATGTTGTGCTGTTTGTTCTAGGGGAGATGTCGTGTGTTTCTAAATGGTTTATTGATATAACATTGATTGGAGTGCTCTAAGAAGTCAGGTTTTTCTGTACCAGTTGTTTTACCCTGTATGGGGTCGTTGTTGCCATTAGCACTTCTTTCAGATTATTGGGTTTGAAGTTGTTCATAGGTTATGTATGACCATTATGAAACTACACCTAAACTTGTGCCCCCATTTTGAATCGTCAATTGAGATGACAATGAACAGCGGACTTTCCTGTGTATCCAAATATGTACAATAGTTTTCTTTTGAGTCACTACAGATGGTGAAGACATAGGCTTTGACATGGTGCAATGTATAAGAAAGTTTGAGGAAGCTAGAGTTGATGATCTATTAGAATACTACGAGTTCTTTGGAGAAATAGGTAGTGATAAACTGACGAAAACCAAAACTCCTCACGCAAAGGAGTTATACTTTATACAAGTGATTAAATATAATTTTATTATGAAGAGTTGAATGAGCACCCTTTATATAGTTCACAACAAGAAGATAATTTTTTTCTGATCACTCCCTCATCATTCTGTGTTTAACCATTTTTATATTGTGCCCTTTCTCTAGTAGACTTGATTTTGTTAACCTCAACACAATATACTTATCAACTTGATATCGAATCGTGATCATGCTTAATTGCTTATTTTATTTTAATCTACTCATGCTGTGACTAACCTGTACAAGAGGTTTCTCCTATTTTTCATTACTAAAACCAGAATTAAAATCAAATTTCTGTTATTTCCCTTCTTGCCTCACTCTCATCATTATGAACTGTATGATGGAAGACGACAACACAAATTTTCTTGTCTTGATTTTTGTTGCCATGGAATTGTGGGGAAATTACTCAAATCATGCCGACACAGTCTTTTGGTACTCACTCAAAGCATGGACTTTCATTGTCTACAATGTTTATCTTCTGGTTTCAGTCATCTATATTCTATTCGTTAGCTCTGTGGAAATTAGAACTTACTAATATATTAAATACTGAATGGGTTCATTTTAATAACCTGTTACTCGTGTTTTTGTGAAATTTTAATTTGAAAAGCATTCTGTTGGTACTTTTGTTTTTGAAACAAACTGACTGTGTCTTTCATACACTTCTACTACATGGTGATTCTTCTTATATTTTTTCCTGCCCAGTTGATTTGATGAAACCCAGTACAACTATAATCCTCCGAAATGCAAAGATCGACATGTTCAAGGGATCCATGAGGCTAGCTGTGGACAAATGGGGCCGTGTTGAAGTTACTGAACCTGCCACATTTGAAGTCAAAGAGGATAATAATCTATCACTTGTTGAGTATGAACTGGTGAATGTTGTCGAAGAGTGATCAGGATCTTTTGGTTGCCGACAAAATGATGTGAAGAAGCATAAAAGTTTAATAGCCATGATGGATGATTATTATGTAGTTATCTTTTAGTATTAGTAGTGCTGGCTGGGAAATGTAAGTACTTGTTGGTTAAGGAAGTGTTTAAACTAGAAAGGAACATGAAAATATTAGTATAATAGGGATCGTTTAGCTTGGCATTTCGTTCTTATCTTGCGGAGTGCAGTGGTTGAAAAGACCCTATCCTTGTTCTTGGGTGGAACTCAAAACAGTGGTAATAGCTTTAGTAACACTCATTTGCAGTGTTCTTGTGGATATTCCCTTTTGTATTTATCTTCATAAAAATAAGTTGATGTGCAGATATGATATCAGGGAGCAATAAGAGCACAATATCCTCACTTAAAGATTATGGCCATCGATTCAGAGTATCGAGACATCGATCATTGCATCGTGAAATGGTTTAGGGAGATGTCCGCTACATAAAAAAAAGTTGAACACGAAGAAAGAAGCAGATTATTACGGGTTGAGTAATATACTGTGATCTGATGGTGTCAGTGTCTTGACTGAGTCAACAGATACATTTTTGAGCCATCGAGTAAGAGAGTGATTTGCACAATAGGAAATTCTATGTAATCTAAATTTGTAATTTAAATTTGCATCTCATCTCTTAATTTGAGATTGGATGAGTGGGTTCTATTAATTTTTTTAAATGGGATCCACTAATCCAATAATCTCCCTTGATTTTGAATACAAATTTGAATGGTATATTTAGGTTGCATAGCATTATTTTTGCACAAAACATACTTTTTATCCCCTCACCGAACGGAAAGCGTTGGGGCCACATTCTTTAATCACTTTACACTGAAACAAACTTAAAAGAGGAAAGAAGCCAATGTTTTGGGTGTGGGGGAGGCAAAGAGCCCTAATTTGATCATGTCATTTACGTCAATTGACTATCTAGAGAAACAAAATGATATCAACTAAAGATGGATTGATCATTTTGAAGTGCCCAAAACAGCCACTCAGCAAGTCCCCACAAACATAAGAACTCTAGGACAGATTCAGGACCGACGATAGAGGTGGTGTTGATTAAAATGTCATCGTTTTAACCCACAACGGCATTGTTTTGTTAATAAATGACAAAGTGTGTCATCGTGAATATAAGGAGAAGGAAGTCTTTTTCTGCTTCCAAGTGTGTCTTCCCACTTGATGTAACTGATATTCGTAATCTCTCTCTCTCTCTCTCTTTCTCTCTCTCTCTCTCCATATCAAAGCCTCAAACTACTTTTTTTAACCATCCGTAAAGGGCTCTCCTTCTTCATATCCAAATGTCAGAAGGAGAGAATCCAAGGAGATACAATGGAGGATTGTAGGAGAAAATATTGATTACAACTTTGATATCATGTGATAATGTAACGTAGTATCACTAATCAATAATATTAGCATAAACAAACAAATGGATCCCAAAAAAATTAATAACTAATATTTCATGTAAGTAAATAACTCTCACTTTTTCACCATGTAAGTTCACTTTGTCGCTTGAAGTTTTATTATTGATTGGTGATACTATATCATCAATGGTGACATGGTATCACCGTTGCATTGAATATTTACTTGGATTGCAGGCCATTGGGTTTCCTTATAGACCTGTCGTTTGCTCTTCTTTAATTGATTTTATCTTTTGTGGGTGCTGTTATTTGGGTCATCGGGTTAGTTTCCTCTTAAATTGCTTCATACGTTTTCTTCTGGATATCATTTTCATTTGGAATGATTTAGCCATATCCATTTTCCATATAGTCATACATGATAATAGTTCTCACACAATACAACTTCTATTCGGGATTATTGGTATTTCCTCTTTGAGAAAATTAATAAAAACTCTCAAGTGATGGGGGTGATCAATCATGGTAACAAATTGGATAACAGCAGTCATGCATTACATTTTGTTGTCAATCTTTTTTTTGGGGGGTTTGCTCATAGTTATTATGATGAAAAATATTTTTTTTTTTGGTACCGAGATTGAGATATATATAACGAAACAAGAACTTTTGGGAAGGCTTGTTCTTGTCCATGGCAAAAACTGCCAAGATTGAGAGATATAACGAAAGCTCATTCTATTCTGAAGCATCGAATTGGGAATGACAGGAACATTGAAGCTGCAGCTATGGCTCGATTCGAGTAGGCCACTAGAAGCTTATTCTTTGATGAAGCACTGCACTAGGAATGGCAGGAATATGTGCATATGGTTTGCATTAAGTTATATTGTACCAAACTTTGTATTTTGTCCTTATGAGGACAATTAAACAAACAAGCGCTACTCTAGTTTGGCTCGATTTTAGTTTATTTCAGATCTTGTGTTGTGTATGAACTAAATACGATCAAACAATTAGGCTTGTTTTGTATCCAAGTTGATCAGCCTAAGCTTTGGACCGCTTGGCTTGCTAGGCTTAGCTCGAGTCTATTAGGATTATGCTCATTTTATTGCAATAAATTTTCAGCCACAGAGAAAGTCTTATATGCTCTAATGAAGGGTGCAACACATGGAAGGTGGCTTCTACCAACTTTGCTTACACACATAAGCTGTAGACATTCACAGCATCAATTGCTCTGTGGATTCGTCAGGAGGGTTAATATTGATTGAACTAATAACATTTGTGATCCTGATCCTTCACATCTGACTATACTAGGGAGGGACCATAATGCCGAATATACAGAAAAAGAGAAATTTGGTCAGGAATAATATGGAAACTTAAGAGGAATTAGGCCTGTTGGCACATTAAACAAATAACTCTGTTCGACTGGACTTGACATTTTCACAATTATTTTGTGCACACTTGAATCCTTTTATGTCACATTCATTCTATTAAACTTTCACTTTTGAAGTTTGATAAGTTTTATACTCTGTTTTGAGTTACTCAAACATAGTTCTTATTTTATTCCGACTTAAATTCTCCCGTATAAAAATAAACACCAAGCACGTCAGAGTCATGCAAGTCTTTTCATCATATTGAGGTGTGCATTTTGCTTGCTTCATCTTTATATATTTGTGTGTATTTATATGATTCACCATAATTTCTAATTTGTTTGTCATTCTCCAATAAATGATGTGGAGCCGAAGGCGACCAATTAGGATTCATGTACATAAAATAAGAAAGCCATAAGGGCATGTTTGGATGTTTTTTGCGGAGGTCCATTGAATTGGTTTTGTGAAGCTTTTCCAAACCCAGTCCCAAAGATTTGTATACGAGATTCAAACAAAAATCTTATCGAATTTCATGTTTGGTATGTGATTAAATATATGTAGGATCTATGAATTTATATTAAATTATATTACTCAATTGATTAAAATGTTCATTATTAAGTGAATAGAAGAATGAGTTTTTTAGATAAAATAATATTTTTATTTATAAATCTCAAATCTGACTTTTGAAATTCACCCTCGTTTCATCAAACCTCCGTGCATGAATTTTAATTCACTATTCATTGCATGCAGAGATTTATTTATCCTATAAATTCTGAACCTCAAATTTTAAACCAAATGTGAGTTTAAAAGGTACATTAAACTATTTTTATAAAACTCACGCTTTAAATTCTATTCAAAACCATGTACCAAACATATCCTCAAAACACAGAATTATTGGATGTGGGAATGTCAAAATCATTCTCCCTATTATTATACCTATAGATCACAGATGCATGAATAGAGACACTCTTAACCACCATCATTACGTAAGCGTGGGGAAGGCTCTGCATCCATTCAAACGACATATCATCTCTAGCATTGGACTTTTTGATTTGAGAAAACTCCTAAAAACACAATGATTTGACCATCATAAATATGGCCTTACCCATGACATTTGAGTTGAGAAAACTTTCATATTAGGACTGTTAAACAAATCAATCTATTCCTATTTGATTTGGGTTTTAGTCGATTTGGATCAAATCAAGCTGCTCGGATTTGAATTGGGTTTCAGTCAATTTTGATTGTGAAAATAGTATTACAAGGTTTTCTCTTCTGAAAGTCTTGGGGACAGGAATGAGTTGCTTGATTTGTTGGTTAGCTTAACTGTAAGTCCTATAGAATTGGAGCAACTTAATGACCATAAGTTACAACCATGAACCCTTAACTCATTTTCAAGTGGTATGCTTCAAAAAATTTCTAAGTTTTCAAAATTCCTATCTTGAATTGATGAGAGAGAAAATTTGGCTGCACAAGTCAATCCAAACAACAAAGAGTGACATCTCGCAGCCGTGTGGTGAAACAAAGCGACCCATTCTTTTGCATTTTAAACAAAGAAATGTTCAAAAAAAAAAAAAAAAAGGCAAAAACTAAACATATAAAGAAAAGAAAAAATATTTTGAACAAAAAATATTGACATCACAACTATTGATAAATTACACAAGACCCCCTTGAATTTGGGGTCAATGGCACATCATCACCCTAGACTTTTACAAGTTAAACTTAACCCCTTTCTATTTGTAATAAACTGCAAATTATAAAAGATCGAGATAACAATGTCGGTAAAATGCCTAAAATATCTTTTGATTTTGTTCTAATTTTCTTTGTGATGTCATCTGATGATGCATAAAGTTGATTATGCACAATCAAATCAATTAAGTGTGTGGTATAAAACAATTAATAAACAATCAATAATAAGAAACAAAGCAGGAATGATAGCCAAAAAACTCTATTAATAAGACAGTACAATGTAGAGAGAGATAGAGAACAAGAATACGCTCAAGGTGCAGTGTGTGAGTTCTGCCCCCCATATGTAAGGGGTTTACACTTTATTGGCGTAGAGCCCTAACTTAGGCGGTAATGTGAGGGTTAAGGTACTAGTTTATTGGGAAGACTACCTACAATTGAGGATGAGCACTATCATGAAGTAATGACTATCCCGATAATTGCTCTCCCACATACATTGACTCTTCCTGGACTTTTGAGCTTTAGATTAGACTAAAGTCATGAGCTGACCAACATTTTCCCCTAATGCCTGAGCCGC